AATGGATTTATGGTAATTATCTGATAATCTATATGACATTTTAACAGAAATTGTTGAAAATATATTTTACAGTTTGATCTTTGTGTAAGATACATGTATTGTTGTCATTAGGACTATATAAGATGAAGGTTATAAAGGTGAAAAGCATCTGAGCATGGCATGAATAGGACTGCAAACAAGACAAAACTTTTCTGTCAGAGCAGCAAATAAGAAGTCAAATGCCACAATTAAGTGAAGACAGAAATTTTGCCAAAAACATCAGAGTCTTATTTCTGTTGCTCAGAAGAACACAAAGCTCAAAGCTCCCCCTGAATTCACACACAGAGAAGGATAGCAAAGCACTCCACAGTTTTCCGCTCCTACTGAATATTGTGTAACACCAGGAGAAGTGAAGTAATAAAACCAAACAACTTTAATTGTTCCTGCACAGATTTTATGCACAAGAGAAGACAGTTTATTTTCTTCACTACATTAATGTGTAATACTTGCATAATATCTCTAATAATTCTTTTTTCCCCTGTGTCAGAGTGGCACTTCATTGTTAATTTTTTTTCTTAGGAGTGCAGCAGTGGGTCATCATTTAAAAATAGTAGACTTTAAAACTTTAAGGAAAAGAAATTATCTTTTGTGGCCTTAGGAAAAAAAATTATAATATCAGAGAAATTAAAAAAGAATGTTCTAACCATGGTTATTCCCTGAGCTTCTGTTTATAAACACCCACTGTTCTCACAAAATTCTTTTCATTCAACTTTATTCAGAATGACAAAGATATTTGTGAAATAAGCCTCCATCTGGAAAGCTGAAGGATATGATACAGCTACATTAAGGAAAAATTATTATTGGTAGAGCTTGTGACATCAAATGCTTTTTACTAAGGTTGTTCAACACTTCCCATTATATGGCTTTGATTTCTGTTATTTACAAAGTTACTAAACTTAAATTGTTTGAGTCAATATTTTTTATGCCAGGTGTCTGCCTCAGGCTGAATTTAATTTATTTATTTTTATTTGAGATGTAGAAATGTGTTCTGCCTTTTTCTGTAAGCAATATATGCCATGCGAGCAGGAACTGGGAATACAGCAGAAAGAAACGAATATTTTTTTATTCACATAAGAACTTTACAAACTGTGTTACCAATTATATGGTAGATGCTTTATAGTGGTTTATTAACTACTAAAACTCTTGGAGTTTTCTCATTCTCTGAGATTTTACTTTGACTGAATCTCTGTACCTTATGTTGACTATCTCTCTCTTCTTTTCTGTTTTCAGTAACTCTGCTTAGTTACAGGTACTCAGGAATAATCTATGTGGGTGACTATAATAATCAAATATAGATGAGACAAGAACTAAAGGAAAAAAACTATTTTGAATGGACAACCTGGAGGAAAAATGACAAAGGCAGAGGTGATGAAAATTTCCTGAAGGTCAATAATGAAGGGAACTGGAATCCCAGTAAGGAAAATGAAAACAGGAAAATAGTAGGACATGACAAGGACTCCAGGAATCAAACAGAATGGGTCAATCTTAGTAAGTCATGGTTTTGAGACCTTTACTACAGTTGCTCTTTTTGTCTGAACTCATGTAGGTCCAATCTCTCTTTAAGTACCATACCCATGGTACTCCAGATAAAAGCTTACTGATTTTTATGTATTTTAGAAACCATGTTTTTGTTTGTGTGGCTCTGTATGATACTACTTATAAGAACATGACACTAATAGCACATGTGCTTGGGTCTTTGTTTTACCCAGCTCTCTTATCCTTTCTGTTTGCAACTGAATCTCTTTGTCTTTGAACTTTCCCACTTTGACAGTGTAAAATTGTCACCTTCTATCCAAATGTAGTTTTCTGACCAGTTTCATTCAAACCTTAAACAGTTTCTTCTAGAAAATGTTTGCTTCATCTGTTTACTGGGATATCATTGAATGCTGTCAAAAGCCTACAGTTTCTCATCTGTGTAAGTCTGGAATAGAAAGAGGAATTAGATTAGTCTGACATTATGTGTTCTAGGCAAACCCCTGTTGAACACACACACACACACACACACACACACAAGGATAATTTGAGATGGTTTTCTAGTGTGCTTCTTTTCTTTCCTACTGCATGCCAACCTGTTCCCACTTTCAGCTACTTCACAGACTCAAACAAGAAAGGTCCACATACAAGACCTAAAGATTCTGAGCATTTTGGTGTTAATACAGTGATATTTATTGGAATACATATTTTTGCACTTTGCTTTGACAATCTGGAAAATTCCTTCAAAATGTATGCAGAAGACATAAAAACAAAAACCAAAACAAGCACTTATAAGGTAAGAAATGGCAAAAGTGAGATTCTTTATCTTATCCTAATCTTCATGTTCAAGAATAAGCATAGAGACTTTAATATCGTGATAAAATTATATTTTATGAGAATGCTTGTGAGCCATTTGGTATTCCAGGTGTACTTACTCTTTACCCACTCTGGGTTCTTCGGGTTATGCTAAAGTATTTTATAAATATATATAGTTTATAAAGTTTTTATAACCCTGACCCACTTTTTAACTTTTAATGCAAGGCATAGACATCCATAGGACATGCTGCTGAGGCCACTTGAATGTGAAGTATGAGAAATCTACAGTCCTGCTTGAAGTTCCAGTTGAGAATGTAAAGTTTTATACAGCCTCCTTCTGCAAACAGCCTTTAACTTTTGTTCTATATTTCTTATTTTTGCAATGTCTGGTACATTAGGGCTCTGGTTTCAGGTAGCATGTCTGGGAACTAATATAATTAACTTAATAAATATCATTATCATAATAAAAATTAATTTGCAGTAAAGCTCAAAAAACATATTAATCTAAGTAATTTTGGTTTTGTTTCATGAAATAAAAAAGAGCTGTACAGCTTTACAGTTTTGATCTACTTACTGTATTAACAAAGACACATGACAGTCTATGATCTGATGCAATACAGAAGGGTGATCTGTCTCCCTGTCAGCAGATGTACCTTACTGAAAAACCATTATTCTCTTTTAGAAATATTCTACTAATGGAGGTAATGTTCACAAACACTAAGTAACAGCATTACCTCCAATTTAGATAATTATTGCTTTTACATAGATCCTTTTTGCCAAGTAGTTTTACATCAGCTAAAAATCACCTTTTTATCTCTGTTGATATTGCTTTTATATTAAAAGTTCATACATTAATATAGTAAGCAAGAGACAATGATCTGGTAGAAAGACAAAATGGAGCCATTCCAACAATACTAATTTATGGTAAGAGCAACGACTGAGGTGAAAAAAAAGTCACAACCAGCCCAGTGTGTCATTTGCAATAATTGTACAACAGATGTATACATGCCAGACTGAGTATTTGGTAATGAATGTGGGGTTTATTTTCTATGGTGAGTAGGTTTCCCTGAATCTTTATTGCCACAGTGCCCACATGTATATCACTAGAATCACAATCAACTGAAAACTGAAGATAGCATTCTTGTCGCATATAAAATTTCCTTTTAAAGAATGCATTTGTTACTTCAAAAAGAACAATGGAAAGATTTTGGTAAATGACAACTGAATTCTAGGCAATCAGAGGTTAAGGACTCAAAATTATGCCCTCATTAGTATTTTATGCTGAATTATTTTATAGATGTAAATTCAATATTTTAATTATTCACATTGCTCCACACCCTCCCCAGTGTACTGCCTATATTTATATTCCCAACAGCTTCTGTTCCCTCAGCTTCTCTTTTTATCCTGAAATATCTGGTGCATTCCCTGACAGACCATTTTCAGAGGTTGTTAACATTTCTTGTCCACAACTTTTAGCTATTTCTGACTGATTTTTTCGGGTTTTCTGATGTCTTTTGGCTCCTGGTGTCACATCTCAGTGTCAGCTCTCCAGATTTCACTCACTTTCATCAAGCTTTTGAACAGCTCTGCCTTCAGCTGCAGTCCTATCATGTACCTGCCTTATTGTAAATGCCATTGCTAGATCCATACCAGTTTCCCTTCACTCCTACAGCACCCAGAGCTCCAGACAGCATAAATGAAATAATAAGCCCTACTTTCAAAGGCTCAGTAGAATCTATAGCTGCTAGAAAAACATCTGGATGACTGCAAATGTACGTATTGAACTAGATTCTGTCCTGTAAAATGCACAGGTAAGTGTGATCTGAGAGGTACAGTGTCTCTGAAGCCCAATTTTCTGTCTTGCTCCATAGCAGCAACTGTTATGGGAGCTATAGCTGTTGCTAAGTCTGTTGGGTATGAGAAAATGTGAGACTGCTTGTGAGAACAATGAGCCAATAATGCTAATGTTGACATGCACTGCAAAAGGCTCCAGGGTGACACTGCTTTCCAGTTGTTATTTAGCACTGCCTGTGTCAGTGCAAATAGCGGTGTTTATCCTACTTACCTTAATGTTCAAGCTGAGAACCTAAACGAAAGCCAATGCTCTGCTCATTCCTTGATCCCCTTTGATCCCCTTTGATCCCACACCCTGACTCCTGGTCACTTATGAACTGGTTCATGAATGTTACTGGGAACTGCAGAAGTAATTTTTTCCAAGTCTGCCCAACTGGAAAATAATCACTGTAAACAATCCACCCGCACACTCCAAAACAATTTTAAAATTTATTTTCATTAAGTTATTATTGAGTTAGAAAAGTAGGGAAATTAGGTTAATGAAAGACTTAAGCATGAAATTGAACTTTTTCATAAACTTGTATTTAAAGCAACCCCTTATGATATGTAATTCTGAATTATGTCGTAATTGGGAGATAATTTGGTGCAGTTCAACAGTAGTTAGGCTACCACTTTTTCTTCTGAGACTGGTTGCATTTTGGAGAAAATAATAAACACATTTTTTCACAAACACCATGGAAAGCCTTTGTTTGGTACTGTGCAAGCCAATGAAAGTAACCCAACAAAACAAGGAAACACAGAGAGTTGACAGCAAGTCTTCTTCCAACTACAGTTAAGTAGTAAACAAAAGGACCTACTAGAAAAAAACAGGAACACACCTTCTGATATCTCCATATTCTCTATCATTTTGTCACTGGCTCAGCAGAGTTGCTGTTCTTGGATTCTTCAAGGGAATCAGCAAGTATTTAATTCATAGTAACTCAAAAAACCTTTCATCAGAGGGGAAGTATTATCTACAAAATAAAAAGTGTTTTAGCACATGGATACATCCTGGAATACTGGCCAAAGTTAGACAGAAGAAAAAACTCTGATTCTTCAGGAAATTCAGTTTTCCCAAATATGTAACCCAAATACCATAACATGTCAACATTTTTGAAGATGCAAAACATCTTTGTTGAACAGTTTTTGCAGCATTTGTTTTGACCTGAGCACAATGAACACCTCCTACACTTTGTGAACTCCTAGCTTTTGTTATTTCTAATTCCTGCCTCCTCAGTCTCAAAAATTTTATATTTTATTTATTTATTCCCTAGAAAATTAATTTAGAACTGTTAGCTACAGTGAGGCCTTTGAATCTCACCCCTGAAAGAATGTCACTGTTTAATTTCTGGGCATCATAACTGTGCAAGAAATGCCAATAGCGAGGAACAACCATGAAATGATGATGTATGTCAGAACTCTCTTACTATCTTTCGCCAGACTTGCAAAATTTGTTCAGTTCTTGTACTCAGACAGTTTATATGGGAAAACACTGCCACATACTGTAAAATACTACCTCTTGTGTGTTTTTTTCTTCCCCTCACAGTGTGCATAGTTGTCACAATGTGCTGTAGATCTTGTATTATGACAGCTATCACTTTTCACTAAATATGCTATTTTCCATTCATTTTGGAAATCCATTCATTCTCAAAAATTGGCCCTGGTGTCCTTGGAACACCAGTAAAAATGACTCATATGCTTATGGCTTTTTTTTTTTCACTGTTCTGGTGAGAAAATCCCGAAATATTTCTGTTTGCTACTCCAACAGATCAGTAAATTCCTGTAACTCTAAATGCTACTGACAGCATTCAAGAACTTGAGCCATTATAACATGCTTATTGTCAAATGTGCCCATAGCAACACTCAGTCAGTGTCATCTGTTTCAACTCAACTCCTATTTTCTCAATTGACACAAAAGAGCCAACATATCAGTCACAACTGTTCCTATTTTAGTATGACTTGAGGAATGATAATGTTCATATATCACCTGTGCCAAGTTGTGATGCACTTCATCAAATTGAAATTTCAGGAATAAAGAACATGGCGATAAGTCTGTGTACTCTCTTCTGCTGCTAAACAAGTCTGATGTCTATTACTTGTTTCTTTTTCCCTTATACTTTTTTAGCTATTGAATTAAATACAGGAGAGGTTAGGCAAGAGGTTAGCAAAACTCTGTTAAAGAAAAGCTAGAACTCCGTGCTAGAACATTTATGATGTTCATATGTTCCACTGTCAGTCTGGAGGTATTTTGTCTGAACATAGTGAAAGCTATGAAATACGGCTAAGAGAATATATCTGTGGCTGATGTAATACATCCCACATTAAACCAAAAATATGTGGCTCAGCATTGCCACTGTTTTTGTCATCCAAGAGTGTTTTTCTTATTAAATTTGTTTCTAATGCTTCATCACTGGAGGTCGCAAGACTTTAGCCTTCCCAGACCTTAATGTTTTGGAATGAGTATAGGCTCCTCCATGTTTACAAGTGTTACAAAAACCAGGGAAGCAGAGACACTTGTTAGCATTGTTCCAAATAATAGTTTTGCCATCTGGTTTTTTTCAGTCCCTTTTTATTGCCATTGCAAGTGTATGACGCATATTAAAGAGGGAACAGCATTTGTCTTGCACAACAGTTACCTTTCTTTTACACTGTTAATGTATAGGTATATTTTTGATGTGAAGAGCCTTGTCAGTGGTATACACAGCTCATCACTTGAGGCTGGGATGTCTTGTGACACACAAACCATAAATTTATCCTCCTCTAAATATAGGAAAGCACTTAATGGGTGTTCTTTTTAATAGAGAGTCAGGACTGAATTTCACTTAGGAATCAGTACAATTAAAATAATGTCTAATTCTCAAAGCACTATACTGGCCTGAAAGTCAAATGGAGAATATAAATTCTATGGCACTTTTTAGTCTATATACATCTATGTTTTCTAAATATTTAGCTAGCATGATACATCATTTGTGGATTCAAGCCTTTGAATCCAGGAAAGGGTTTACAGGAAGAGGACTCTTCCCACTCTTTCCAAAATCTTCCTTTTTTGCCTGCAGTCATCAGAGGAAGGCTGCGGGAAACTGCAACCATGCATTTTACTCAGAGTAGGTTTCAGATCCCTGATGGACAAGATGTTACTGTTGATTTAGCTGATCATGACAAAAAGAAAATCTCTGTCTTTCATAATAGCCTTCACCTAAGAATTAAACTTTGTTCTTGAAGATTTTTTTGCAGAGCATATCAGTCAATCAACATTCTGGACATGTACTACAAGCTGGACTTAAAATTCACATCAAGCATGCATCAATAAACCTTAAGTTTCCCAGAGGTGTATTTAATAGTCCTTCTGTGATTGCTGAGTTAGAAAGTAAGGGAACTCTTATGATGATTTAGGTGGTCAGTCTGCTCTTTCATAAGTCAGGCTGGCAAAGGTTTGCTGAGTACTGAGGAATTCTGCAAGTTTTAGTGTATGTCCTTTTCCCTTAGGTTTGCCACCTCTTAATGCAGAGGGTAGAATCACTCTTAACATGTGTTCTGGTATAGCAAGGGTATTGATACAATCCCTTAAAGCACCACAGAAAAAAATTCTCAGTGAATTGCAGCTTCTAAGAACTGAAAAGGGAATGAGTGCACTCCCTAATGCACTTCACTGTAGACAGGCAGGCAGAGAACCTTGGAGAATTTTTGGGATTTGCAAAACACAAGAGAGTACTTTGCATAGCACAGTATATGCACTAAGCCCTGGCTTTTAGTTTGCTCTTGCACTATCCCTCAAACCTCCTTAAGAGTCAGGTATCCTTTTCCCTCCCTTACTGCTAAACTTAGCACTTATTGGAGTAAAAAAAACAGATAAAATAGTAAAACTGCAAATTACATTGGGAAGTGACAAGTGAAGATCTGAGGACTATCTAAACTAGTTTCCATGTTTCATCTGAATCAGTTTGGAATAAATCATTTTAAGAAGACATCACCCATCTCTGAATAACATGGCCACACTTTTCTTATATACATATATAGATGTCTGTATTGGGTCAGGGTTAGGATGGAATTCATTTCCCCATAGCAGCCCTCACAGTGCTGTGCTTTGCACTGGTAGCCAGAAGGGTGTTGATAACACACCAGTGTTTTGGCTACTGCTGAGCACAACATCAGCACTGGAACATTCCTTCCTCAACTGATGGCAAGATCCCAGGAGGGGCACAAGTAGGTCAGCTGACCCAAACTGACCAAAGGGATGTTCCACACCATATGATGTCAGCTCAGATACAAAAGCTAAGGCAAGGAGCAGGAAGGCAGGCATTCATTGTCTCCAATGGATGCCTGCTGAGGAACAGTCACACGTGCTGAGGCCTTGATTCTTGGAAGTGGCCAACCATTGCTGCTGATGGGAAGTAGAGAATAAACTGTGTTATCGTTTGCTTTGGTTTTGCATGCACAAGCTTTCGCTTTGCTTTTGGTTTAAATAAACTGCCTAACCTGTACCCATGGGTTGTTTTCCATCTTACTCTCTCCCCTGTCCAGCTGGGAAGGCAAGTGATAGAGTGGCTGGGTGGGCACCTGGCATCCAGCCAAGGTCAACCCACCACAATGTCGATACCTCCAATGTCTATGTATATATGAACAAAAAAGTTGCACTGGCAGTCATACAATCACAGAATCATAGAATCAACAGGGTTGGAAAAGACCTCTGAGATCATAAAGTCCAAACCTTGATCCAACACTGTCGTGGTTACTAGATCATGGTACTAAGTGCCACATCCAGTCGCATCCTTATGTCCTTTTTTTTCTCTTTATAATTTATATTTTCGTCCCTAAACACCTGTGCTTTATTTTTTAATTCTTCCTTAGTAAACTGAACTTAGTCCTATACTTAATATTTCTCATTCTCTTGTCTAAGAAGGGTGAATGATTTATTCAAACTGATCTCTTGATAGTCTTCCTATTTTTCCTCTGCAATAAGATAATTTTTAATTATGCCCTTACTTTTATTTCTTTAAATGTATCAGCTCACTCTAATACTTTTGCTTTTGGTTACTGTCCCCAAAAATATACCACTTGACTTCTCTGAGTTGACTGAACTCTTTTCTGTTTTTTAAATTTTTTCATGCCCTAGAAGTATGAAGACTGCTATTTCAAATTAAGCTTTAATTAAATTACCTTCCATAAGGGCAATCTTAAACAGCTTCTCTTTATTAGTATAATTATATCTAGCAAAACATTGGTCTCATTTATCCTTTTTCCTATAAGAAAAAAGGTATTGCTAGACCAAGAGTAGCAGAATGTTGCACTCAGTGACTTTTAGACTCTTTTTAGCCTCTATAATGAAACTTTTCAAGTCCTGACACCTTAAACAGAAAGCTAGTTATACTGAAAATAAACCAAACACATTGAGAAAAGAAAAACAACAACAACAACAACAACAACAAAACCACAAAAAACAAACCTCAAATGTATTCATTACTTAAATATCAAGACTTTGGAGGGACATGACATGTGATATTTAAGAACTTGGGTGCCCAGTATGGAGCTACCAGTAACAAATCTTAGAAAGATTAAGTAAATCTTTGTTAGTTCTTATGAAGGGAGATTCTTATGTAGGAAGCCAGCAGTGTGCCTCAGTGGCCAAGAAGGCCAATGGCATCCTGGCCTGTATAAGGAACAGTGTGGCCAGCAGGAGCAGGGAAGTGATCCTTCCCCTGTACTCAGCACTGGTGAGGCCACACCTGGAGTGCTGTGTCCAGTCCTTAACCCCTCAATTTAGGAAGGATACTGAGGTGCTAGAGAGCATCCAAAGAAGGGCAACGAGGTTGGTGAATGGACTCAAGCACAAGCCCTGTGAGGAGAGGCTGAGGGAGCTGAGGTTGTTTAGTCTGGAGAAGAGGAGGCTCAGGGGTGACCTCATCACTCTCTACAACTACCTGAGAAGAGGTTGTAGCCAGATGGGCGGTGGTCTCTTCTCCCAGGCAATCAGAAGTAGGACAAGAGGGTGTAGTCTTAAGCTCTGCCAGGGGAGGTTTAGGGTAGACATCAGGAAGAAGCTCTCTACAGAGAGAATAATCAGGCATCGGAATAGGCTGCCCAGGGAGGTGGTGGAGTCATCATCCCTGGAGGTATTTAAGCAGAGACTGGATGTGGCACTTAGTGCCATGGTCTAGTAGACAAGGTGGTATTAAGTCAAAGGTTGGACTTGATGATCTCAGAGGTATTTTCCAACCTAGTTGATTCTGTTATTCTGTAATATTTTTAAAATGGAAAACATTTTTAATATAAGTTCATTACCCTAAGAATAAAATCTCAGATTTTTTTTTTTGTTCACGTTTAAAAGTTTAGCTAAGATTTTAGCTGTCCTGAACATGTTTCTCTATTTTTGAAGATTATGTAGACTCATCTTAATCAGTATGAAAACAGAAGTTAAGTGCTTGTCTTGAAGTTTAAAAGGATGATTTTATTTTTGCCAATGTACAAGCAAATACAGAAATTCAATGGATTTCCAAGAATGAATATATCAACCAGGCATGTACCTGTCAAATATTTCTGAAAATACAATGAAGCAAACTGTGAAACTTTAATGTTTTTATTGCTAATAAAACCCACATGAGGAAAGTCATTAAAAGATCTGTTCATAGTGTGAATTTCTCTGACAATCTCCTGCACCTGAGCAGCGTGAGTGGAAACTCATTTCCTCTAGCTGGAGCAATGACTTCTCACCACACTGAGCCACTGCCATAGACCATCATTCCTCTTCCCCTTGGTATCTGTGACCCATAAACCCTCTCCAGTTAGTAGACTTATAAGAACCTGGAGATACTCTTGGTTTAGTAAATTGTCTCCCTCACTTTTTTCCAATACCACCTAATAGCATTACCAAAAATATATTAGAATTTATTACCTTATCAACATTCCTCTCTGTGTACAGAAATCTGAAAGTTCCCAGAGTGATTTGAATAGGAACAGTTCCACAGTAATATGGAGTCAGAAGAAAATAGAGTTTTTGGGAGACTATAGTTGAAGCAAAGAAAACTAAGGTATAGCACATGACCTAGACAGGTGGTTCTGACTTCTCTCAAAACAACTTTCCACTTTTTCTTGAGTAAGAGGGAATAGATTTTTTCAGGTGGAATGAATTAAAGAAGCTTTTGGCAGAAATATATAAAGAATATTCCTTTCTTTTTCCCGTACAAGCTTGTCATTATTTCAGTTTTTCAAAGGACTGGAGAAAGTTATTTAAGTAATGTTGTCTGCCATTTAATGATAGGAAACTAAGATTGAGAGTTCTGAAGTAGCTTATCATTACATAAAAAGATAGGAAACAAATAAGGAATGAAAACTTGTTAAAAATATTATCTTCTTTCCTCTCTACCTTCCTCTATTCATCTCTCCCTCTATTCTTTCTGCTTTTTTTCCCCCTATTCCTTTCTCTCCTCCTCTCTCTCTTTTGGCTGCGCTTGCTTTATGTTAAGGTCTGTAACTTCCTGTCAGCAAGAATTTACCATAATTTAAAAGTGATAACAGTAATGCAAGTGAACAAATACTCGACCATCTCATATGGCATAAATGTCAGAAGGGAAATGCTCAGAAAATTGCATGCAACATATAAAATGCAAATGTAATATATAATGTCCTATGTGGAAAATGAAAATGCTGAGCTCAATTCTTGCCCTTTACTTGCCTTTTACTTTGACTACTGCTGCTAAAAAACTAAGTCACAAATTCTTCTCAATCTCATCTTACCTTGACTACACAGGTAACAGTGAAGTACTGAGATAGCTGTTTTCTGTCAGAGCCAAGAGAAAATGAAGCTTCATAATAACTTTTTTTATCATGCCCACCTATTCCCCAAATATTTTCACTTGTAATGGCTGGCAAAGAACATACTTTCAAACTTTCTCCTGTCATTAATCCCTCTTGACTCTATCAACAGCTTTTCCTGAACTAATCACTAAGAATATGAACTTGCAATATGAATCAGAAGTATTTTGCTTTTCTGATGAAAGAAAAGGGGTTTTCCTCCTTTACCTGCTCTAAGCTGTTGTTTCTCCCCTGTTCCCCCTCTGTTATTAAAAAAGTCCCAAAGTCCTTAGCAAATGATTGGGAGTTTTTGTTTGTTTCTGAGTAAAATCTGGAGCTGGTCAGGCAATATACTTTTATAACTTCTGTAGAATTCCAACTAGACTGCCTCATTTTCATTCTTTTTGATGCCTACCTCAGATCAAACTTTTTTTTTCTTTTTTTTTTTTTTTTTTCTTTTAGCTTAACCAGAGCAGTTCAGTAATTTCAAAAAGCAGTACATGTAAAAAACTTCTGGACATCTTAGTCCTTAGCACCTTTAATGTTCTTTGTCTGGCATAAGGCTTAGAAATGGAGGAGAGGCTGCTGTTTGTCAGAAGAATGCTTTTTTTACTTGTGAAAATCTGCTTTGCTGTGTCTTCTGAAAAATTGCCAGTGCAGGAATCACTGATGGTAATTACATGCAACCTTTAATGACTCTATCCTCTTGGGTGGAGCCTGACCCAACCATAGAACAATATCATCAATGTCATGGTCTTGCTGTTGCAGAGTTACAGCAGAAGAATTTTGACCAACACCAGCCACTGCCAGAGTGTGGGAAGTAAGGCACATTTGTGACTGTCCTTCATGATCAGAGTAAAGGATCCTCCTGAAGCAGAGTTGTCAAAATGGGATATTAAAAGCACAAATCCAGAATATAGGGAAACAAAGAGATGGACTTAGCAAGCCTGTTAGGACTGCAGCTCCAGAAAATGAGATAAAATGTGGGCAAGAGTTCTAAGCTTGGCAGTAAACTATGGGGCAGAAAAACAGAGATAAGGGGTATTTCAATGGATAAGAACAAGAAGGAGGAAAGACAGTCTGTTAAAGCATATGGGGTAATTCCAGGAAGCTGGAACTGTTTGAACAGAGCTTTTGGCTTACAAACTTCTGCAAGGAAGAGGGTAAAGAAAAGGCCACAAGAGAGACATTAATGAGAAAAAGACTCATAAATGAGACTAGCTGATGCATTGTTAGGGGAATGGTATGGTTAAAGCCACCAGAAAGATGATCCTGAAGGATGGTATGTGTAATATGTGTAAATACGTATCTGGGCAAAGTAAATGGGACTGGACCAGAGCTTTGTGAACACCCAGGCAGCTTATGTGGCTCATTGCATTCTGGAGCAGCTGGCACAGCCTCCTTTACTCAGGAATCTCATCACCCTGTGTATGTTTTTGAGACTCCAGAGACTTACCTCAGAGCTGTGGATTGAATTTGACATTAAGATGTTCAAACATTAGTTTTTGAAATGATCTCTCTCCATTCTTTCCACCAGAGCAACTATTTTCCTTTTTCCTTTATTCATATCCTCGACATCAGTGTAATCATCTGTTGAGCTGGAAAGTCTGGATCTATCAAATCTGGATGTACCACAGAGTCAGAACAGAGGGGATGATAGATTAAAGTTCACACTGTTTGGTATGATTGGAAGGAAAGGCAGAGTATAAAGTGGGTAGAACAATCTGTACATAGCTCTTTTACAGATTCTTTGTAAATGTTTTTGTGCTGTGTCCCTGTTTGATCAGAATTCATCATCTGAGAAAAAATAATTACAGCATGCTAAGTCATAAAGCTTCATTGGTATTCAAGTTCACAAATTATTTAACAAATTTAAACAGAAGCTTGTAATTAAGTGTCCTTTTCTGAAGATGTGCCACTCAGTGACTTAGCACTTATGAGCAGGATTCACCAATGCGCATTGGATCAAAGAGAAAGATGCTTATATCAACAAGATGGAAGTGACAGAAAAATGGAAAAAAAATTGCCTAAAAATCTAGTTTTCTTCTTGATGTGGCCCAGATACAACTGAAAGGCAAACATGTAACTCCCAGCTATCCACCCTCACAGCAACTGTGTCTGATGTTTTACAGTCTTCTTAAGAGAGGCAGTAGGCCTAATGAAACTTCCTATGGGATAGAGCAAGTCCCAAGCCTGTCAGTTGATCTGCATAATTATGTTGCCAAGATAAGTCCAACTTCCTCCTTGGACTTGGGCTTAAATTCCTTGTTTCATATTCTAGATGTTTCTAGAGAGGCCTTTTAAAACAAATAGAGATAATATTTAAATTACAAACATGTCATTTTCCTTGATTTGCAGATAGCTGGTTGGAGTATCATTAAACCTGAAAAAAGCTGCAAACAAAATAAAAACTAATTTGGACACAGAACAATGTGGAAAGTTTGCCCTGAAAAGGATGATTTAAACTATTATGCAGGTGTGAAAACTAGAGGTTACATCTGAAACTGTTTTGCATCCTTAACTATTGTGTTTGTAACCATGGAACAAGTGTGTTAAGACAAT